GAACTTTCCGCTAGATCTAATTATAGAGTTTCATTAGAAATTTATAAATTTAAATATATATATAAAATAAATAAAATATTATAATTTATTGTAATAAATATACCGTGTGTAATTTCTTTTAATTAATCATTGACCATAACTGGAATCGATAAAACGGGGTGAGGAGGGAAGGAAGGGAGAGAGAGAGAGTGCATTTCTAGAAACCCTAATTTCCCACAGTTTTCACATGTTGTGTGTGTGTTTAGTTCAGTCAAGGATCGAGATTGTGATTTTCCCTACTTTTTCAGACTAACAGCAGAAGAACACCACACCCTTCTTTCCCCTTCCTCCCTCTCTCCCTCCCTCTCTCCCCCTACACCATTAAATCGGTTAGGAGAAATCGTCATTTTTCTAGTGTCCGCAACGAATCGTTCATTGAGCACGCGTCGTTAGATGCAACACGCATACGTGCTATGTGTGTGTGTGGTGTTTTCTTTTTCTTTTTTTTTTCTCATTCATTCATTTCTTAAAGATCGATACTTTTAGTTGAAATTAATTTTTGGAAAATAGATTTATTTATTATAGATTGTTTTTGTTTGTTTATTTGTTTGTTTGTTTGTTTGTTGGATCAACTAAGGAACACAAAAACAAAATCAACATTGGCAAACTTTCTTTTCATTCTCGATGCCACGCATTGAACTCACTCATTTCTATCGTCTACACTATAGTTTCATATTGTTATATATATTTGTTTATTTATTTAATAGTTTATTTTACAACAATTGTTTTTCCCTGTCGTTATTTTTCTCTAGGTTGTTTCTTTCATATGGTTAAATGATGATAAATTTCATTTGTCATCTCTCTCTCTCTCTCCTATCTCTTCTTCTGTGTCACCCTTCTTCTCTATCAATTCTTCGCGCATAATTGTTCAGGAAACGTTAGCGGTAAGTGGATTGAAAAGGGAAATGTTCATCCGGAAGTACATCATCTCTTTAGTAAAGATGATAAATCGATACGGTACTATTTGTCAAATTTAATGTTAAGTACTTTTCTTTTTAGCATAATTTCTTATAATTTTTTTATAATTTATCATGGCAATATTCTTATTGTATATAATATGATATATATATTGTTATAAATATATTGTAAAATGTATGATTTTTTTAAAGTGTGTCATTTGATTCCTCCTTATGGTAAAAGCTCAGTATACATTTAGTATTAATAAACAAAATTAGAATAGGTAGGAACATTACTAGTAGTGCATAAATGGTATATATTTTGTTATAAATATATATAAATTAAAAAAATATATATAAAAATTGTATAATTTTGTTAAAAATCCCATATGGTAGAAGCTCAATAAACATTTAGTATTAATAAACAAAATTAGAATAGAGATAGGAACACTACTAGCAGTGCATATTTTGTTATATATTTTGTTATAAATATATATAAATTAAAAAAAAAATATATATATATATAAATAAAAAAATATATAATAAAAATTGTATAATTTTTTTAAAAATTCCATATGATAAAACCTCAATATACGTTTAGTATTAAAAAACAAAATTAGGATAGGTAGGAACACTATTAAAACAATATAACAAATCCAAATTAAAGAAGATTCGATTGTTCAGTTCATGGTTTAATTATGTATACGGTGAACTAAAAATCTTGTCATCATTTTAGGATTCTCTCATTGAACTTAGACTGGTATAGAACAGAATAGAAGGTAGGAAGGAAGGAAGGAAGGAAAGAACGATTGTGATACATCGGTTTAATTATTTATAAGATAAACTAAAAATCTTGTCATCATTTTAGGATTCTCTCATTGAACTTAGACTGGTATAGAACAGAATAGAAGGTAGAAAGGAAGGAAGGAAGGAGGAAGGAACGATTGTGGTACATCGTCTAGGTCGTACGTTACGCTTGAGGGGAACTGCTTCTCAGTGTCCTTTGGTAGGCGTGTCAGAATTGCTAGATGATTTATCCTTTGCGAAGCGGTAACTGCCGAGATCGTCGACTAAACGACCACCCCATGGTCCTTCGTGTATTAACCGTAATGCACTCTGCTTTGCCATTGTGTACACTCAATACCAAGTCTCTCTCCTCTACCTAGTTGAACACATTTTGTTAAAGGAACAACTTTTTGACTTATATTTCTTCTCTATGATCGTCCCTCGAACGACATCTCCTTCTTCCTTTCTTTAAGAACGATCATATTTTTCACTTATTTTTACAGTTACTTTTCTTATCTTTTATACGACACGTTTTATATTATTATTTAATCGATAAAACTTAACATTACTTTATATTTACAAAATATTGTTATTCAAATTACGTTGCATTTCTTTTATTTCAAATTAAACAAATGTTAATGGGAATTTATTATTTGTACGTTTTATCTAATTAGACATTTTGTTAAGAATAATTTCAATAAATTTGATTGAACTAATTTACTAATAAACATTTTGATAGGAACTACTTCTTATTGATACCTTCAATAAACTAATTATACGTTCGTTACAATCCTACTATTAAAACTTTACATTATTTTACTATTATTACAGAATAAAAAAAAAAAAAAGGGAAAACAAAAACTATTTCACATATATTCAAATTGTAATAAACCATTTGTGAAATTAGTCAAATGTTAAGTGGAAAATTAGTAGGATTAGAAAAATAGGGAGATTTACTATTCGTACGCCCTTTCTTTGATACGTGACTTATATATATATATATATATACGTATGTGTGTATATGTGTGAGAAATAAAGGAACGGTTTTTGTGTCGTTTTAGGTTTGAAACGGCATATGGGGTCACGCCCACGAGGTGCTGCTGTTCTCGAACGACGAATTTTCACATTGCTGCATCCTCCCCTCCTCTCCTCTTCTCCCTATCCCTATCCCTGTCCCTTTTCTCTTCTTTTCAATAGCAAACCTTATAGCACGCGCCATAGTAAAAGCAATAGAGCAGCAGTAACACTATAACAACAGCCTGCGAAAATGCTAGTCCGCAAATCCTGCGGTGTTATCCCGATAATTTCCAATGACGTCAAGGTGATCCCGTGGGAGCCTAACGTTTAACCTTCGACTTTGTAAAAATTGACAAAAGGTTTACAAGGATGATTCGATACGAGTACACATATACATACACGTAGATATATATTGTATCGGATGTGATCAATTTGTCAAAACAATTTTCGTTTTTTTTTTTATTCAGACTACTGCACTTATCTTATTCGATTAATAATAATAATAATAATAATAATGATAGTGAATTAGTTTTGAATTTAAATAAATGAATTTAGATAGATTAGGTCAGAGATCGGCAATCTTTTGTAGTCGGAAGAGCCAAAAATTACAATTTACAAAATTTCAAAGTTTTTAAAGAGCCACACAAACATTTTTTCTTACCAACAATAAATAGTACTCGTATAAATAAAGTTAGTTTTTTGAGCCTAATCCTCGTTAATCGATTCAGAAAGATTTTTAAATATATATATATTTTTTTTTTACTAAACTCTTTTAACTAAAGAGCCGCATGTGGCTCTCGCGAGCCGCAGGTTGCCGACCCCTGGATTAGGTAGTAGATCATTGATAAACATTGGTTTAACACACCATTCTTCTTAATAGCTTTTTTTTTTTTTTTTAATGGGACACAAATTTTAGGAAATAACAGAAACAATAATAAATAAGTAAGACCAAATAAATGCATAGTTATCAATTATTATATCGTATGATATATTATTCGCACATTTTTTTTTATTGCCCTTCATTGATACATACACAAAGTATGCTAAAAATCGTACGTATCTATTATGTACCCATTTAATCAGAACAATGAACTAATTTCAGATTTCATTTTGTTTCAAATTGATTTTATGATTTATGAAAAAAAACAAAAAACAAAAAAAATAAAAATGAAAAGGTGTGAACACGAAAAATAATAATAATTATAAAAAATCAATTAATGTGTTTTAATTTTATTTCGTTTTTTATTTCATTTTGATTTATCATTAGTCCATTGTTATAATTAACAGGTAACGTATATATATATATATATAATACATTATACATATACATTTATATATACACATATGTATATATGTATATGTATATGTATATGTATATATATACGTGTATGTACATATATATACGTAGGAGAGAGAAAACACGTTGTATTCGCTTAACGTTTTGCGAGACAACCGGTATAATACAGCTGCGATAATCACACGGCAAATCGATACAATATCACCGTGTAACTTAGTAGAGAACACGATAGGGTAAAACCGTGCCTAACTTAAATTATCTATAATATGCATGACCGATGTATATACAATACGATCCTAGAGATAAGCGCAGGCGCGCACCGCACCGTCTTCCTATTTACAGTTCTCGATTTTTATGTTTATTTAAAATGCCCACTGCCATCATCATCATCATCATCATCATCATCATCATCATCATCATCATCATCATCATCATCATCAACCAACACTACTATCTCACTAGTACACCATTATCAACTACTACCACAAGCACAACCATAATCACCACCACCACTATCACCACTACCACCATCACTGATGCTGGTTCATTTTTTCTTCCTTTTATTTTTTCTTTTCTTTACCATTTTTATTTATTTTTTTTTTCTTCTTCTACAAACTCGCACGCGTTTCTTTTGCTTCCTTTTTTAAACATTTTTCCTTTTATATTTTATTTTATTTTATTTTATTTTTTTTTTTTTTCATTAGGATATAATTGCAATAAGGATTAATTTTATTTCAAACTATGACCTCGCAAATTTAAAAATCTAAATAGAAAAACAAAATGAATAAACTCGAAAATTCAGACTTACGTTTATTATAATTTAAATATACTTAAACCCTAGGATAAATATTAATCTTTTGAACGACACGTAAATATTGTAATATAAAATTGTTTTTAAATAAATATATATATGTGATCCACTTTAAATAATTCCAGATTATACAAAATTGCAAATACTTAAATAGTAACTTGACAAATCGGTGTAACAGTTCATCCAAGGGTTAAAGTATTACGTTAACGAATCTCTCGATGAAAGGAATGTTATGGACAATTCGTGATAATAATGATAAAAACAAAAAAAACCAAGAAATAATATCAGGGATTCGAATGTTCACTACCTGCCGGTAGAATTAAGTCCATCCCGATGAGGTGGCACGGTGAAGGCTCTTAATCCGACGCCTACGCCAATACCAACGCCTACTACAGGTAAAGGTGAACTTTGCAATTGACTCGATACATTCATCGATGAGTTCACCAAACCCATGGTGGTGGCGTCGGTTACGAGAATGGACGAGGATGATGACGAGGAGGGGGAAATTGGATCAACAACTTCGTTGACCGTTGCAATCGTACCACCCAATGCAGAAGTTGCATTTGTCAAAGTATTAGTAGTAGTAGAACTCGTAGTTGTTCTAACACGTGCAGGTCTTGCACATTTTTCTAAATGATGATGATGAGATCTAACGGCTAATCGACTAACATGAACCGGTATTGGTACAACTATTCTCGTACCGTTTCCGGTATGCTGTCCGGTAGTACCACCACCACCATGATGACGAGTACCAGCACCACCACCAGACGTTGACATTGACGACGCATTCGAACCGATTCCACCATTTCCATTTAATCCAGCTTTGACTCTTTTCCATTTAGCTCGACGATTTTGAAACCATATTTTAACTTGTACCTCGGACAATTTCAACGCATGCGCTATGTGCGATCTTTCGGTTAAACTTAAATATTTTTTAGCGTGAAATTCTCTTTCTAATTCTAACAATTGTTCAGATGTGAATGCAGTTCTTCTACGACGAGCTTTGTTTCCCGACGAATTCGAACTAGAATGTCCTCGTACACTTTCGTGACCTTGCCCATTAGGCGAACCGTTGTTTCTGGTACCGTTTACGGATCCGACGGTAGTCGTATCCAATCCCTCACCCATACCATTGTTAGTTCCACCACCTTCGTCCTCGCTTTCCGCAGATACTCGTCCATTTTCTGATCCTAATTGGGACCAAAATTAACATTATTATTCATTATTATTCTTTTCAATTCATTTCATTTTTTTTTTTATTTTATAATATTAATATAGAAAGATTTGTGTTGCATAGAAATATTTGAAAACAAGTTCATTTGTTTGTTTTTATAGAATTAATTTTTTATTGTAAACAAAATTACGAAATTTTTCATTGTCTCTCGGTAGTTTTGTTTAATTAATTTAAAAAATTATTTGGAAATTTGGAAATATATATATATATATATGTGTGTGTGTAATTGTAACTTAATATTTTCCTTCTTAATAATAATAATAATAATAATAATAATAATAATAATAATAATAATAATAATAATAATAATAATAATAATAATAATAATAAAAAAAGAAAAAGAATGATTGTTCCTTTTTTACTTTATTTTTATCTTTTACTTTCTTTTCGTAATATCAACGTTTAAACACAGTTCATCGTAATTTGATGATCAAACGTCGTACGAATTCTCGAAAAAAAAGGGCTCTGTTATTAAGTAATTATGTTATTATGTTATAGCCAAGTTGCACTAGTAATACGTACGAATGGAATGATCACACAGTTATAGTTAGACCTACGATCGACCTATGTTCCAAGGCTTTTTTTTTTTTATAGGTTTTTTTCTCTTTTTCTTCTTCTTCTTTCCACCACATTTTTAACCTTTCCTCCCCTTTTCCCTGTAGAGCAAATTTTTACGAGAACTTCCATCGTATTTTAAATGGTCCAACCAATGTATTCATCGTCATCTGAATTATCTTTTTTTTTTCATCTACATTTTTTAAAATTAACCCTTATCGATCGTCGTTTGATTTTTCTATTGACGATTTTTATTAAAATAATTTATAAAAGTGCTTTCGACAAAAAAAATTTAAGAAATTTTCTTGAAAATATTATATTATAACAATAACTTATTATTTATTAGAAATTAATAATATGAAACAAAAATAAATTAATAATAAATTACTAATATAAACAATAAAAATTTATTGTTTTCATCAAGTACCATACAATTATATGAAATTATTTAATTATTTAATTATTAATAAAATATATTTAATTTTCCACGTGACTTACAAACCGATAAGGGTTAAATTATCATCAACTACGAGATACCGTTCCTCCACGTTGCAAAGTGCAAAGAAAAGAAAAAAAGTGAAGTGAAAAAGAAAAAAGAAAATAAAAACAAGAAACCAAGTTAATCTAATTGTAAGTGTATTCTTTTTCCTATCCACCCCCTGATCAAAATGCAATAAGAAAACTCTATACACGATCTTTCCTTTCTTTTGTTATTATTATTATTATTATTATTATTATTATTATTATTCTATTTCTTTTATGTTTTTTTTTTTATTTTCTTTCCTTGTTTTCGAAGTTGTAATAAGCGACACGACCAGTGCCGAGTGTGCAACACAACAGCAGCAAGGTTTCAGTTATTCTAGAGTTTGATGCACCCAAGAAGTAACACACACACACACATACACACATACGATCACACGGGGACCCTTCATTTATTCAAAGACTTTCGATTGAATCGCGAAGCAAAACGCTTCCGCACAATACAAACCTCTTATGAGAATTGAATTCATATACATTTTGCTTCATATACGTTTCCATACATTTTCATATATTTCATACGTGTAGGATTTTTTCATACGTTTCCATACATATGGTTTTGTTCATACGTTTATATCGTACGAGAAGAAATGAAGGTAGGAAGGAAGGAATGAAGGAAGGAGAGAGAGAGAGTCCCTTGAAAGTATCGGCCCGAACGATGCAAGCAACTTTTCTCAGCACATCTGTTCTGTTTGTCCCCTGTGACAGTCTTTACACTTGAAGAGAAATCGATTTCCCACCTCCACCTCCACCTCCTTCTCCTCTTTCTCTTCCTCCTCATCTTCTATCCTCCCTCCCACATCCCTCTTATAAAAAGGAAAGAAGATATTTCAAGTTTTCATTTCTTTCTTTTTTTCTCTCGTTGTTTCGATTACTATTAAACTTTATCGAGTTGTTGTTCATCGTTCGTGCATCTTTTTAATTCCTTATGATGCACCCATATAATATAACCCCATATCAATTATATACGATTGTAAAGTAGTTTCCTTGTTTTAATCTGATTAATATTGTCTCATATGTTTTATTATTTATGTAAGATAAAAATGTTCTGTTCTATTTTGTTTTTATACGAGAATTTTTTGGTGTTTTTTTGTTTTTTTTTTTTACATATGGGTCCCCATATGTCCAAATTTAACACACACAAAAATGAGTGTATATTAATGTAATTATATTAAATTATATTGAATGAATTTATTGAATTATATATATTAATCGTTTGAAAAAATATTCTTCATATTATTTTATCATATATCTACATATCTTAATATATATAAATTACGTGTCACGTTGTTTGTCCGCAATGGACTCCTAAACTACTGAACCGATTTGAATAAAATTTTGCACACTGTGTGCAGTTCCATCCAACTTGAAAGATAGGATTATTTATATTATATAATCGCAATATTATTTTATGGCGAATTATTTGTTTCGATGACGGTATAAGGTAATTCGTTGACTTAAAGATGTATGTATCGGACTGATTGTGAGCCACAGTAACGCGTGACAGGGCACCCCTAGTGTATATATAATCTTTAATCTTACATATTAAAATTGAAATAAAATAGAGATATAAAGATATAGATATAGATATAGATATAGATATAGAGATAGAAAACTGAGCTCGATGTTTCGATGAAAAACGATCGTTGAAGTGGGATCGAAACGCGATTTGGCATAACGCCAGGTTTTCACTTAGTAGACAGGCACCCCTCCTGTTGGGAGAACGTGTTCTTCGCGACGTATGCGCCAGTATGCTTAAAATGAGTGAGAGAGAATAAGAAAAAGATAAAAAGAAAAAAAAGGAAAAAGTTAGAGAGAAAGATAGAAAGAGGATTTGCTTTGCAAAGTCCGACCGTATCCAGATTCCAAGCATGCTTTTCACCCAAATAGCACATTAACAGTTTCCTGGAAATACTGTGAAGCATTTAAGTAATTTTTTTTTTTTTTTTTTTTTTTTTGCTATTAGAATATGCTAGATGAAAGTAGGGAAGAGTTGTATGTATTGAGTTTATTAATATTATCATTTTAATTTTAATTATTTTCATCACGAATTTTTGTCAGAGTTTAAAAAGCTTCATCCACGTATTAGTTCGGTTTCCAATGATTTGTTTAACTAATTGTTTTTTTGTTTTTTTGTTTATTAAATTCTTAAAATTTTTTTGATGAAACTTATGTGCAGCGGTATTTGTCATATTCAAACGTGTGAAAGAAGTTAAGTATTTTTTCTTTGTTTTTTATTTTGTGTCACAAGTTACTGCAAAATCAAATTATTTTTGTCGATTGTTTTTATTTTTATGAAAAATTAAGTAACCTATTGCAATCAATAATGAATTTATAATACGTTTAAACTTTGCGAATGAAATTATTATTATTATTATTATTATTAGTTTCATTTTATAATATATATATATATATATTTTATATTTATTGACTAGGATGAACTCATCAAAGGAACCTGTCGATGTTATAATTTCGTATGGAATATCGTTTTAAATTTATTTGAAAATCGAACGAGTTACGACACACTAAGGAAATTGCCAACCGGAAATGGAATAAATTGGATTGTAAATTATTTTCCCTAGCATGAATAATGCGAATAATAAAATCACTTTTTAAAAGTGCTGACCTCCTATCATGTGTGAATAAAAAAAGAGATGAAATAAAACGAGAGAATGATTAGTGGATTTCAATAAAAAAAAAATAAAAAAAAAAAAAAATAGGAATACCTGTATAATATTTTCGAATATAGAAACTGAAAAAGAAATAAAGTCGAATTAATTAAACCGATCCTGGTCATCTTTCCGAGACCAACGTAATCCAAAAAGGAGGGGGAGTGAAAAAAATCAAGGATTAGGGGATGAGAATGAAAATGAAGTTTGGGGGAAAAGGAAGTTGGTCGTCGTCCTGTGGTCTAAAGCATTTTTTTTTTATCGTTTTTTTTTTCTTACTGTTTTTTTCTTTCCTTTACTGTTATTTTTTTCTTTTTTTTTCTTTTTTTTTTCTTTTTTTTTTCTGGTCACAAACATAGTCGAATCTTGCCGACGGATCCTCCCATATCGTGTAGTTGGTTAGATGCAGGGTCCATTGGTGGTTGGCAATGAATAAGGAAAAGTCCTAGCGTCGTTTGGAAACTGCGGTAAAAGCGAAAAACTTTAGGGGTAGGAAGGGGGTGGATAGGTGGTGGTGGTGGTGGTTTCCTTGCAAGCGTTACTGGTGTATGGTAGAATAAAGAAGATCGAGGTCAAAAAAAGTGGGGGGATGAATTTGTCCGAATCAAATAAAAAAATGTCTTTGTGTATGTGTGTGTGTGAAAGAGAGAAAGATAATTGAGTTGATTCTCATTTAAAATGAAATATATTATTACAACTAAGAAAACAATCTAAATAATTTACATTAGTGTTAAAAAATGAGTACCTAAGTACCCTGACCTAATTAAGTATTAGAAAGTAAGTAACCTAAGTACCCTGACCTAATTCGAGAATATAATTTGGTTGATCGACAAAAGTGGAAGTGTTGGTGAGGGATGAAGTAGGAAGGTGTGATTGTGTGATAGTGTGTGGAGGTAAGAAGGATAGGAGTGGGGTTAGGGGGTGGTTGTGAGATGATGAGGTGGGAGGGGATTAAATTTAAGAAAATGAGAGAGGGATGCCAAATTTAGCAGAACTCGCGATCGATTAACAAAACAATTTAGAAAGAGACCTGACACCGAGAGAAAGACACCGGAAGCAATTATCGGGATCGTCGAAGGAAGTCGCGTGCGCAAGACAACAACGATCAAGAAAAGGAGGTAGGTGGTAGGATGGGTGGTTGGTGATTCTGCTTGGCTGCTTGGCTGGTTATTTCTGGATGCGACATGAAATTTCA